CACATTTATAAGATTATTTCTTTGTTGCTTTGTATGTCCCTTCCCCACGGAATAACCCCTGCTTTCACTGTATTTGATGTTGTTATAATTTGTGGAGGGGAAGGGAAAAAACAAATCGTTTAAATAGGGATACATGTGGAGCCATTGCAACAATGAGATGTACAAGTCATTATGTCAAAAAACAAACTTTACAACTTTGGTGGGGGGGAGGAGGGTTGGGTAGGGGGACGAGGGGAGGATGGGATGGGAAGGGGAAACAAAGGAGGAGGCCACAATGTACTCATTATCTTGCCCATGTAATTGTAACCCCTCTGTACAGTATTTTCACAATAAAAAAAAAATGGGAAGACAGACTATGATCAGGAGTACGAGGACTTACATTGTGAAATGTAATTCTCCCTCAGTTGATCAAAAATCTATGAGATTCTAGAAGAAAGCATTTTGCTCAACTTTATATGGAGGAATAAAAAGACAAGGTAGCATTTTGTCTTTGCACTGGAAGTATTAATTTTCTTAGTGAAGCAAAGAGTAAGGAGAGAGATTTGCCTGTTCATAATACATCATGACTTATTTAATAAAGTACCTGATTTATTTCTCTCTGTTAAGAGAAGGGGCTATAGTTAAGACAATAGTTTGGGAATAGAAATAATTATGAATGCAATAGAACGTATTGCTATCAATAGGCAGCATTTGCGATAGTAGTGTGTCAGACGGGATAAAAGATTGTTCAGTAAACTCAATAAAATGGCTGTCTACAAGGAAAAAAAATTAGATTTCTAGACTATGTCAGCAGCAATGAGAAAACTTTAAAGAGAATTTAAGATATAATAATAATACCAACTATTAAAACTTCAAATCCTGATTGATGACAGTCTTTTTCTCCGTTAGTAGGAAACACAGTGAATATCTACATAGAAGATTTCTAACACCCAATTACGGACAGTGCTGAGTAAAGGAAAGTTCAATAGAATCACCTACATTAAGATCAAGACCTATGGCTGCTTATAAAGCCCATAGGAAGGAAGCAAATATCGAGCAATAGCCTGGTAAGATTGTAATATGTGCATATTAAAGATCAAAAACTTTGATAAAACACCAGAAAAACAGAACAGAACAGAAGAACATAAGACATTTCACCGAAGATCACACATCAAAGAGAAGACTGGCACAGTACAGCAAGGCCACATGTACAAAGTGTTTGTGAGCAACATCGTGTGCAAGCTCAAAGACATCCAAACAACCCCATGCCCCCACAAGAAAAGTAAACAAACTGGCAATTACATTTAGTGAAATAGATCAGAGCAGTCAAAAACAAGCACTGGCCAAAGGAAAAAGGAGGCTACTCTACCTTTTATGACCAACAACAAACTTTCCCAAGGAACCATAGTGTGTTGTATGATTCAGTAAAAACAATATACTAGTTTTAAACTAGGCTAGCACTGGTAGCTCACTCCTGTAACCCCAGCTACTCAGGAGGTTGAGATTGGAGATTCCTGGTTCTCACAGCCTGGGCAGAAAAGTCCACGAGATGCTTATCTTCAATTAACCAGCAAAAAGTCAGACGTTGAGTTGTGGCTCAAGTGGTAGGATGCTAGCTTTGAGCCAGAAAGCAAAGCAATTCAAGACCCTGAGTTCAAGCCCCAGTACCGGCACAAAATGACACCATTATTTTAGTCACATAAACACTGACTAGTAAGTTGAGTTTAAATATTGTGATACTACAAAGGGAGAATGGGAGAGAAGAATATTGTGAGAGCACTGTAAATAAAAAAATAAATCCTAATTTCCTATAGTGGATAGTCAATAGATGGTTAGTTAAAATAAGAATGGATAAGCTTTTTATTTTTATTTTTTTAGGGATATGTAGGTAAATATGAGAAGCACAGCCAAGGAGAGTGGAATGAACACACACACACACACACACACACACACACACACACACACACATTCTTGATTTTTAAACAATACTCTCTCATTTGTACTAGGTGGAGATGACTTGCTGAATGACAGATGGAATTTCTAGATGGAGCTGAACAAGTGCACCAGTACTGTCATCTGTCTCCAGCACCTGGTTTGACTTGGTGACATACGCAGTATTTACAAGGGCATACTTGCTTTTAGCTTAAAAGAAGTTGGAACCAAGCAGAAGGGCAGGGAGAGATGAGGGGATCAGTGTGTTTTCATCACTTAGAAAACTTAATACTCAAACTTTTGTGCTTTATCTCTCTTCATTCATCAGTGTAGTCTGTGGCATTGGCAGCACAGACATTAGCTGGAAGTTTCTTAGAAATGCAGAACTTTGAGCTCCTGGAGACGGACTGAATCAGAAATTTTGGCAAAATCCACAGTGACTTGTGAGCACAGGGAAGGTGGAGAAGGTCTGGTCCACAGCCCCATTTTCTACAGAGTATTATCTATTGTCATCTTCTTGTATTTTATTTAAAATAGGAAGCTATGCAAATGACCAATAACCTCCTAAAATAAACTGCGATGAATGAGTAATGATATTTTGAACTCAACGAGGGTGACACAAAGCTATCTGCAGAGCAGGCGGAGAGGAGTAACAAGCACTAAATAACCAACTCAGAAACTATTCTTCACAGTATTGGTTTGCACTGTGAACAGGTGACCCAGAGGATGAGCTTGATCTTGACTGCTTTGAGACTGACTGCTCAATGGGAAATCTGGTGTTCTGTCACCTATACCAAACACCAGCTTGCTTAGGAGTGCACTGTGTTCCCCTCTCAGTCTGACAAATCAGTATTTTATCTAAAGAAAAATGAGACAGAAAATCCTGAGCTCAAGTAGCTCAGTTGTTCATGGTGATGAGCAACCAATAAACTAACAAGGGAGTTTTGAAATCTAAAAATGGTGGCACTGTGGAAATACAGCCACCCAAGGTCTCAAAAGATAGGTTTGGTCAGATCATCTGGTGACAAATTCACTACGTACGTTATCAGAGGATCAACTCAAAGGAGCACTCACCGAGAGGAGAGGCTTGGCTTCCCACTTTTGCTACAGCTGGTATAAATTCCTGGGCCATCGTCAAAGAAGCTTCCGAGGGCCAACTTCTGTCTGATAGACTCTCTCTCATTTTTCTGTGCCTAAAATTTCAAGAAAATAAAAAAAAAAGAAGCTGTAAGCGAGGTGGGCACAACGCAACTACAGACAGCTCAGCCTGCTGGTTCCTAGGATGTAACATTAGATGAAAAAATAAATAAATGGGGGTAGAGCCCACAAGCATGTGAATTATTAAACACAGAAATTAAGCCAGTCTCTTGTGTCTCCCATTTGAATTTTTCAGAGCCCTTGATAATCGCCAGTCTAGGTGATCATGGCCGCAGTGCTGAACGATCTTTGGGAGGAGAGAATTCGATTCCTGGGTACACTACTCTTTCTTCTCATCCGGAGAAGGGGGAGAGGAGGATAAATTATGGGGGGCACACGCTTCCTCCTTGAACTTATCTCTCAAAACCCAAATGTGGCTTTCCTCCAGATCCTGCCTTCTCTCCCTTTCCCTATGCACTCAGCACCCATCTCCTCTGGTGGGAAAATGAACACCTCTGGCCACATGTGCAGGTCTCTGTGAGCGGCAGATGCCATAGCAAAGGGCTGGAACAGAGCCCGGCCCAGGACACACACTGTGCCTGCCTGCATTCTGCTTCCAGCAGAATGGCCAGGATCTACTGCATCCACTCAGGACTTAGCCCCTCTCCCCAAGCTTGGGATGTGAGGAACCCTAAAATGAATGTCTTTGGTCCCATCTGGTATGTCTGCCTTTTGCGCCATCTGCCTCCTATTCTGAAGAGAAATCAGATCGGCATGACAAGCAAAAGGGCTTGAGAAATGAACGATGCTACAGTGATCATTTGGGTAAGTTTATAATACTCTGCATCCCATTAAAAGCTCTATAAAAACTCACCATGCTGAACTTTTAAACCCTTTAAACAACAGGGAAGAAGATCAGAAATGAGTTCCTTAGTTAAAAATAAAACAAGTTCCCTCCCCACCCTTAACAAATGAGTTAAGAGCTCTTGGGCTGAGTAAGACCGGGGGTTTGTGCTCTGTATTATCACAGAGGCCCTGAGAAGGACCATTTTGTGCTCTGAGCAGGAAGGTAGAGAAACAGAGTAAATGATATTATGAACGCCGACCTGTGGCCTGAGGTGGCTCCTCTTACCCCTGGTCCCTGTGAGAGGTACTTCTGTGGACTGTCAGAAAGCGGACCTGTGCCACAGCTAGAAGGGCAGCAGGGGAAGACTGCTCTGCCTCATGTGACAGTTATGCATCACAGGTGGCTGTTTGCATTTAAATCCAATAGTTAATTAACGAATTAATTAATTCAGTTCTCCAATCAATCTGGCCTCATTTCAACAGCTCCACAGTCACCGGGACTGGCGAATATCATATTAGACCGTCCATCAGTTCTCAAATTCTAGTTTTGACAGGCTGCATTAGAACATCCTGCAGGATTTAAAAATCACGCATGCCAGGGGTGGGCACTACTGGCTCACATCTGTAATCTGAGCTACTCTGGAAGGAGTGATCAGGAGAGGTATGGTTCAATGCCAGCCCAGGCAAAAAGTTCACATGACCCAATTTCAACCACTCAACTAGGTGTGATGATGCACGCTTGTCATCCCAGCTCTTTGGGGAATGTGAATAGGAGGATTGCAGTTCAGGTCCGGTCAGGCAAAACACAAGACCCTATCTCCAAAATAACCAGAACAAAAAGGCATAGCTCAAACGGTAGGCTGCCTGCCTAAACAAGTACTAAGCCTCGAGTTCAAAACCCCAGTGCCATCAAAATAAACACAGGCCCTGTGGATAGATATTTAGGGTTAGTAGCTTCAAGAAAGCTCACCACTATTCTCCTTTTCTCTAACACTTTTTAATCAACACGAGCATCGAAACACCAGGAACACAGGTTGAACTTTTGCAGTGTTGATCTACACAGAGAATGTCCCGTTCTACATATTTATTTAACACAGATTCGCCCCTACAGCCCACTGACTTCTTAATCCCCATAATAGTGTTAAGATTCTTATGATGTGTCTTCGCCAAATCAGAAAACTGACAAGCAGAATCCAATACTCAAGTAAAACAGGCTGAGATCTGAGGATCACAGTTTGAAGCCAGAACAGGCAGACAAATCCAAAAGACTCATATTTAATCAATCAGTGGAGGTAGTAGGTGTGGCTCAAGTGGGAAAGCTCTGGCCGTGTGTGAGAAAGAATATAAATGTCACTTGTAATTCCTACCAATTACAGAGATTGCTGCACAACATTTTCTCTTAATATGTAAGAGTGTATGTATATGTGTGTGTATGTATGTATGTATTATGTATGTATGTATATATGTATTTAGTGATATTAGGTCTTGAACTCAGGGCTTTACTCTCTCAGTTTGAGTCCTCTACCAATTGAGCCACACCTCCAGCCCAGTTTTTTGCTGGTTAGAGATGGAGTCTCAGGGACTCCTCCACCCAGGCTGGCTTTGAACCTTGATCCTTCAGATTTCACCCTCTTGAGTAGTGAGGAGCATGGGGGTGAGTCTCCTGCTTCAGCCTAGGTTCCTTCCTTTCTTCCTTCCTTTCTTCCCCTTCCCCTCCCTCCCTCTCTCCCTCCCTTGCTTCCTTTCTTCCTTCCTCTCTCTCCTTCTATCTCATGTGTGCATTTTCTCCATGTTGGGAAGCCGAGACTGTGCTATGATATCTTGAGAATTTTCCTTATGTCACTTCATATTCTTCAAGGAACACAATTTTATCTTAGCCTATCACCCCATCTTATAGTTCCCCTGAACAGTAAGCCATTTGGGTAGTGTTAAATTTAAAATACCATCTTTTCATAAATCCCTGCCCACATGTCTGGTGGCTCCCTGCAGGAGAGCTTCCTGGGAGGGGAAATGCTTGCTCAGCCGGGTGTGAACGTTTGTGGGAGCTCTTGCCACATTTGGTCACATGGCTCTAGAGGAAAGCTGTTCCAGTTCAAAAGCCCACCAGCCATGTGATGATGGCCTGTGCACACTACATCCATCCAGCCGGCAGGGGAAGCTTCCAGGGATGTTTTTAATTTTGTAGGCACAAAGTAGTAATCTTGACTCTCATGCCTTTGATTTCGCAGTGAGAGTAAATATTTATATGTTTCTGGTTACTGTTTTGGTTACTTCCTTCTCTCTGAATTACTTACTCCTAGTGTTGCTTCTTTTTCTTCTTTTTTTTCTGTCAGTTGTGGAGGTTGAACTCAGGGCCTGGGAACTGTCCCTGAGCTTCTATGTGCTCAAGGTTAGCACCCTACCACTTTGAGCCACAGCACCACTTCTGTTTTTTTTCTTTTTTTAAGCAGAAATCTGAGTTAAAAATATTTTATAGTAAAGGTATTTGTTCTTTTGACTTTTAACTCTTAAGTGTAGGAGGTAGGTTAGATATATTTCTGCCTTTCCGTATATAAGAACAGGGTGTTCTGGCTAATAGAATTGGTGGATGCCACGCAGGAGACTGAGTGTGAGCCGAGTTACAGATCTATTTCTCTTAGCTGGCCTTTCCCCCTTGGTTGGTGAGTGCCCCCACCATAGGTAATCAGAGCCAGAGTGGTTCCACCATCTTCCCATCACAGCCAGTCTCTCTTCCTCCAGGGCTCACATGAACCTTCTGAACAAATGTGACTCCTGATGCTTCAAGTAATTATGATTCAAGTTGTGAGTAAAATAGAGGTTCTTTTCTGAAAATTCCAACAATTGGCCAGGCGCTGATGGCTCACTTCGTAATCCTAGCTACTCAGGAGGCTGAGGATCGCAGTTTGAAGCCAGCCCAGGCAGGAAAAGTCCACAAGACTCGTATCTCCAATGAACCACCAAAAAGCTGGAAGTGGAGCTGTGGCTCAAGGGATAGAGTGCTATCCCACAGGGCAATTATATTCTTGAATTCCTCCTGCCCCTGAAATTCAAAGATGTTCCAGGGTAAGAAAAAGCTAGAAACCAGGGAAAAGGGAGAAGCTGACTCAAAACAATACTGTTTGGATGCACTTATGGCCAGTGGAGCCCTGTCCACGGCTAAACTGCTTGGGGAAAGACCTTCATAAAAGAAAATTAAAACATCTAAATGGATGTCATGGGCAGAGAGCTAAAGAGCAGCTGAGGAATACCGGCTCATCAGTAAGAGACAGAAAAGCTATTTACCAAGGGGAGAGTAAAAAATGCATGTGGAAATGAATCCTTACTCAGTCCCAGGCAATTCTGTCCATGTTTATCCCGAGTTTCCTGCCGACAACCCTGTGTTGGAGATGAGGCTCACAATGACTTTGCTACCCCAGAACACTTCCTGAAGGACACAAAATGGTCTTCCTTCCCCCCGGGCCTGCCAGCCTACTGCAGCCCCCAGTACTTGAGAAGAAGAGAGAGAGGCATTTAGAACAGGAAATGCGGAGCGAAGTGCTCTGGGAGGGTGGGGATTGCCCATCCAATGTGTTTCTATGGGCCTTCAGAACAGGGCATATGTGTGCATCCTTACACTGCACCTTGCTTTGTCTTCCTGCCTCCCCTCCCTGGCTCTGTCTTCCTGCAACTTCCTTCACCTAGCTGGCGGCATCCAAGGCATCCCTGAAACTCGGGCCACCTGGTTTTGAACATGCTTATCTGCATGGAAATTTCTAAGTGGAAGATTGGGTATTTTTTACATGTCCAAACGTTACTGAGCGGACTCTGCCCTTCTCAGGAACACACAGTGGGAAATGACATCCTCAACGCAGAGCTAAAGTTGCTGGAGCTCTACCGACAGCCTCCTCCTCCTCACTACCACACTATGACGTCACCACAGAGGAAGCCCGGAGTGACCCGAAGGCCCCCACAACCCACGGATTTATAAAAGCTTGGCCTGCAGAGTCAGGGTCCCAGTGGATGGGCATGGCACAGTGCCTGGGGAAATAAAAGCAGATGTGATATCCTGAGCAGGGCTGGATGCGATCTGGGAAGGATGAGAGGAAGATGTCTCCCCAGTGTCTTGCTGCTGTCCACTCCTTTCCCGGATGGAGCTTCCCTCCTTCCCAGCTCTGTTTGCTTCCTCCAAGTCCCTGATCACCATGGGAACGGAAATGGACTTGAAACAAAC